TTCAGCACGGCTCAGCCGAGCCGAGGCATATGCGATCGGCTCGACTGAGCCGCTCGGCCGTGATCGGGAGCTGTACGGGCTATTGTGAATAGCCCGTACAGCACCCCCTCGGTTCTCCTGAACCGAAGGGGTCCTGGGGCCAAAGCTAGCCGAAGGATCGGCCAAAGCTACGGCCAGATCCTTCGGCAGCTTTGTGAATAGACCCCAGTGTTCAGATTTGGTTTACATCTGATAATGAGATCTGCCAGCACAGTCTAATCAGGGTTAATTATGGTGAACATCAATTCCTCAGCTCCCTGCTTAACATTTCATAGCGGGGAGAAAACTTTAGTTTTGGAGTTTTCAGAAAAAAAGCAAGTAAAAATGTAAGCGGCGATTTGTTTATTTAAGATATGCTATGTGAATGGAAACATGTAACAAATATAAAGTAGGTGCTATTCCAATACGGCTGCAAAAGTGAAAAGTTTTTCTGCTGCTTTGAAAGAAATGACACACTAAACAGATTTTGTTTAAGGTGAAATATAATTTTTAGAGGGTTTAGAGGGCTTGTATTATAGGATCCTCGGAGTAAAAATAACTGCATTTAAAGTCTATATTACTCTATATATTCTATATTAAAGTTAAATTGACATATTTCTTGCTTAAAGTGTATTCTCACTTTTGCAGCAAAACTGAGAAATTCCAAATATTTTTTTGTTTTGTGTCCCGATTCACACAGCATACCAAAAATATTTTTTACCCTTTTAGCTATTTGTTTGGAGTAGGATTAGACACCGGGCATTTAAGGCAGCTTCCAGTGGTTAGAATAGCTGGCAATGTGAAGATAAGGGACATATTGGGGAACAGTGGATTAACATACAATGCCTTGGGCTCTTTACCCCTTTATTTAGACAGACAGTCCCTTTTCATCTATTTCACAGGTGATAATGAAATCTGGCAGCACCGTACAGACAGAGTTAATTATTTAAAACCAACCCCCCCAGCCTCCACAGACTGGGAGAACTGAGCAGGATTTTTCATTCCTGGAGTCTGCAGAGAGGGAATCTATAAAAGGTAAGCTGCAATTTGTAAATATTTTTTTGAATGTTAAATGTGAACAACAATTATAAAATAGGTGTTATCCTAATTAGGCAAAAGTGGAAATACACTTTAAAGTGACGCTGTAAGTATAGGGTCAATATAGCAAACATTCAAACCTGTAAAAAGAAGAGGCACTTTACTTACTTTTCTAGCGGCCCATGTCTAGAAAGCTGCTGGGATGCTGCTCCCTGGCAATATTTGAGTGGTTGAATGGGTCGAATACCTGATTCCCTAGCTGCACGAAGTGGTTTCTCCCACTAGCTTGCATGTCCTGTAGTGACGTATTAGGTTGTGGAAGGAGCCACTAGTAGGGTACCTTGATGTGTTGAATTCCAGCAGCGGCCAGGGAGCGGCATCACGGCAGTGATTCAAGACCCAGACTTTGGAAAGGTAAGTATGCTGCCTCTTCTTTTTATAGGTATGTCTTTTTGCAGTTTTGATCATACAGTGACAGGATCACTTTAAGCAAGTACTAAGTCATTTGTTTCTGTAAACAATGTATTTTGTATTTTTGTATATTGGAAATATTGCATTAAAGCTCTATGAAACCTAACCTATAAAAAAATGAAGCATTCTGTGTATCAGTGATCTGTAGTCATTTATCTTACAGCTTTTCTGTTTGACCCAACTGATGATACTGTGAAAGAGGAGATATCTGATAGGGAATCTTCAGTATCTGAGGATATATAGTGTTTATCTGCATCTTGTCTCTGCTTGCACTGCTGGTAGAATTGAAAAGCACTGTTATACTTCTTCTCGGAAAGGCCAAAGCAGTGATAAGATTCTACATTGTTACACCTGAAAAAATAAAAATGTCAGTAAGAGATAAGTAGCCCTTTTGTTAACCAGGAAAACCATGGAGGTTTTTGGTAAATGTTAGTTCATATTTTTTAACACATTTCTAAACTATTTAATAAAATTATTTCAATTATGTGTATACAATTCTATAGTTACAAACACATTTTTAATACAGGGTGCTTTCATACAACAGGATTGCTAGTAGGAAAGCCCAACACTAGCTCTTCTCCTACATAATGTAAATTCACATAGGCACCATCTCAGTTATTCAGCTGTGTGTGTTCAATTTGAGATACTGCAATTCTAACTTGTAAAAACTTACAGTACCAAACTCACACTTACCACCTGCTTGCTGGAAGGAATCATATAAGGACTGGAAGATTATCAGATGAAAGTAACAATCTAACATGTCTTTTTCTCAACATAAATGTACTTGAAAGATATAAAATAATGTTTCTTGATTCTTGAGGTGAACATAGACACTGGAAGGTCATGGATTTGCAGGCACTATCTGACTGCCTTCCAACAAGCCCTCTGTCACCTGACCCTTACCTAAATATGGATGCTCAGCTAAGCTAAATGTTTGTATTTATTGTTATGTAGAAAACAGGAGTGCAGTGCAGGCAGATGTTTATATCAGAGGAGAGAACAACAGGATTGGAACAGTTTTTTTTAACCGCCCTGACATTCCTGACAGAGAAGAGAGCCAATCAGAGGCTGTGTAATTGACAGCCTAGCAAGCTGTCAATTACAGCGTGCATCACTGAGGTACTGGCCTCTGCTAGTGACGGGTGGGAAAAAGCTGTACATGATCAGCAAGCACAGCCACAAGGAGACCAGGGCAATGGGGTGGTGGTAGTGCAGAATGAGCCATATAGTGTCTACGTCAACAAGATAGGAGTCTATAATTCTCTCTGTGTGAAAGATGAGCCCTAGCTTTGCCATGCTGAATGTCCTGGGAAAAGTGATTATGCAAATAAGCGCCCATATACATTTAGGCCTCATTCACACAAACCTTTCAGGTCCGGCTGTGAATTCCTGAAGCAAGAATCTGAAGAATCCACAGTTGGACCTTACAGCCTATGTGAATAAGACCTTAAAGAAGAACTATGAGCTGAGTGAAAATCACTCATCCTCATAGTTTGAGCCAACGTGTGGCAATAAAACTGTCACACGTCGGCTCAATTGATCAGGAAGTGAGCGAACACATACCGTTGCTCGCTCACTTCTCGATCATCTCCCTGCAGAGAGCGGTGACTGTCAGTCACTGCTCCCTGTAGGAATTGCCCCCTCCCCTCTCCGATCCTCCAGCGCTGAGTGGGGGAATGGACAGGGAGGGGGCGGGTGCAGTTGGCTCTGCCCCTAGATAGGTAGAGCCCGCTGTCACTCACACAGCTGGGTGGATCTCGACAGGATCCGTCCCGGCTGCGGTGGTCTCAGTATACCGCGAGCTGTAGCTCACGATATACTGAGCTTTGGGTCACGGGGGGACGCTAGTTTATGTCCTCCTGTGATCCTTGAGAGAACTATAGGGAAAAACACTTACCCCATAGTTCTCTTTTAAACAGCTGTCTGTAGTTACACCTACACTGATATAAGGTATAATGGTGGATTTTATAAGGGTGGATTTCTGCAGGGGGTTTGATCTGAGGTCTGATGGTAAATGTTATTTATATACATTTCTTAAAACTATCTCTTGTGGTAACATAATTAGAGTATTTTGTGGGTACAAGAATAGTTTCAAAGGTGCAGTATGTACTGTGAGTAGGCTCCGACTCTAGTTAACCATGCCCCTCTAAACCACATCTAATATGCAACTCTTTGTAGCCATGCCCAATTTTCACCACGGCACAGTAAGCCCTCCTTCTCCCTTTCTCCAGTGGGCCTCAGTGTCCCAGACCACCCCTGCTTGTATGGTCACCTTACCTCCAGTGACACATGATAATTAGCTAAAATAATAAATATGAAGACAAAAACCTAATGTCAGGGGGTACATTAGAGTACAAATTTAACAAGAATCTACACTGCAGCACCTTAGGCCATATGTAGAAAGATCAGAAACAGATGAAATAAGCGCACAACTGGTTGTAAATCATGAGTGGAAGCGGGCTGAAAAAGTATAGCGTGCTAGCTCCTATCAACAGTGAGAGGACCCTGCAATTCAGTACATATATAACAAACACGAGTGCAAGGAGCGCTACTAACTAGAATGTAACAGTGTGATATCTGATGTTTGATGAAAAACGTATGGTGTGACTTACAGTTAGGAGGCAGCTGTGTCAGAAGCTGGTGTGCCAATGATGGTACGACAGTGACAAATGCCTGGAGGGAATCCGAGGAAGGATGAAAGATTGGATGATGATGGGTGTGGAAGCACTGTGGAGATCCCTAGCAGCACGCGTGCACGGCTGGCCACCTATACGGAGAAGAGGGCTCTCTGTACGGCGGCAGCCATACAGAGAGCCCTCTTCTCCGTATAGGTGACCATTCTGTCTGACTTCTTCCCCTACCTAGGACCGTATCTGGTTGCTTGACATCAGTCTGGAACGCACCGAACAGAGTTGCTTATAGCCGCTTGCGGCTTTTTCTCTCCCAAGCCGCCGCGGCCCGGCCCGGCCAGCCGTGCACGCGACCTGCTAGGGATCTCCACAGTGCTTCCACACCCGTCATCATCCAATCTTTCATCCTACCTCGGATTCCCTCCAGGCACTTGTCACTGTCGTACCATCATTGACACACCAGCTTCTGACACAGCTGCCTCCTAACTGTAAGTCACACCATACGTTTTTCATCAAACATCAGATATCACACTGTTACATTCTAGTTAGTAGCGCTCCTTACACTCGTGTTTGTTATATTAGGCCATATGTAGCTGGATAAGAGAGTTCACCACCTGAGATTGTATGCAGTGTTCACAGCTAGTGTGGTGTACGGTCTATTAAAAAAATAAACAAAATAAAAGTAAAGTTTTTTTTAACATTTGTTTTTGTATTAAAAAAAATAGTATATCAGCAACACATATCAAGCCCTATAATTTTGCTAGTGTTTATTATAGGAAGGATTTTTCACTATATACATTTTGCCCCTCAATAGAGGAGACACAGAGTATTTAGGCGCATTTTTGTAGAAATTTAACACTTAACTTAAAATTATAAGAAGGAGAACCATGCAATCATGAATAGCTAGTATGAGGCTATAGAGATCTACACAGAGATAACAGAAAACCAAACAAATAGGAGGTAAGTTACTGCCCTCTTCTTAAATGAGCTAATATTCTATCTGCCACTCTGCTCATACAGACAACACAGATAATACCCGTGTCTTTTTAATACATTACAGGTATTTATATAGCGCTGACAATTTACGCAGCGCTTTACACAGTTGCACATTCACATCAGTCCCTGCCCTCAAGGAGCTTACAAAATCTATATACTGCACTAGGTATTGCTTAGCAATTATAATGTAAAAAAATTACTTACCTTCTTCCATCACAAAAGTTTATCTGTAGCTTTGCTCCATTGACACCAATAATGACACCAGGAAGGAATGTGAACGTAGATGGATTGGCCAAAGTCAACACATGGTCACCAACACTGAGAATGTGTGGCTGGCTGAACTTCCCAAAAATCCACTCTATGTCTTGAGTAGTTGTTTTGCCATCTGACCATGAAATGACATACTGTTTCCCGTCATCAGCATGCTTCAGTACTTCAGCTGGAATCATATACAGTTATTATACACCAGTGCTGTTAACCTCCGTTCCCCACAATCCTCAATTTTATGATTTACAGGTTCTAAGGAATGAAGTAGGTTTATTAACTGAGATTCATGTATGTTTCCCACAATTCTGGCCCATATGAGCCACAGGTAATCTTGAAATAAAACCTACTTGCATTGGATAAATAGTTCTTCATCAGTAAAGTTATGTTAAGTGCCAGCCTTGGTCACAGAGCCCTCTTTATAAACATCACTTTATTCTTTAAACATTAGTAATACACGACTGATGAAAAACCAGATTCAAATGCCACACTGTTTTGCCCACTGACATTTAATCAGCCTTTTCCCCCTAAATATAAGAGTATGGATATTGTTCTTTTATATTATGATGGCAAATCAAGCCTTTTCCAGTATAATAAATCCTTGCTTTGTGACACTATTGGGTAAATCCAGATTAAAGGTGCTAATATAGCAGCAGGTGCATTGCTTAATTAGAGTTTTCTGAATGCTTCAATGTATCCAATTTGCTATGAATATGCATGTCCTGAACAAGATCTGGCAGAGCAGCTACCAATGAGATCAGCTTTTATGTTTGACCCAAATGTACAGACTGGGGTTAAAATGAACACATGATAGCTCTGTACACCGAGAGATAATGTAATCAGACAACAACCAGAACTGCGTCCTGATATTTAAATGCATACTGATCAGCTTTGGGAGTAGCATACAGATGGTTCTTATTAGCAGATATCTACAGTGGTCTAATCTGCCATGGTAATGAGCCCATGAATTAGTTACATACATACAGACTTACATAAAGCCTGTCTTTGGGGGGGAAAAAAAACAACTCCCCTTGCAGTGGGGCTTTCACCACTGCTCATTAAGGTCTAGGGTACATGGGTAAATCAATTTTATTTGCCTGATCCCTGCTTCCCCAGACAGCATTCGGCACTCTCTTCTTCTCTCCTATGTTCTGGCTTGTGGATTTTTCCTTGGCATTCTCATGTATAATGCAGGGCCATGAGTCCTGCATTGTACATGATGGCATCAGCGGGAGTGGAGAGGGGAAGAGGCTGGTCTTAGAGCCTGTGGGAGTGGGGATCATGTAAGTAAAAGTCCTCTACCCAGGTACCCTAGACCCAAATGAGCAGTTAAGCCTTGCAGTATGGGGACAGCCCCACTCCAATGGAAGTTTCTTCTTGGAGATAAGCTATGAATATTTGTATTTTCTTTCTGGTTGCAGAATTTTATGGTGCCACTTTAAGGTAACTTGTACCAAGGAAGAGCTGCCCTCCTTTAAAAAATACTCAATCTCCCTGTCCTTAGACATGGGGTCAGCAACCCTATTTACTATCACATACCATTAAGAAGCAGTAAGGATATTTCAAATACTGTGTAACATTTCATGTTTGTGAAAGAAAATTGTTTATTACATTTCTAATTAGAAGAGCCAATGTATAAAACCAAATGGTACAAACTATATCAGGGTGACTACGTTATCAGCTAAATGAATAGCAGCAATCTTATGTCTTATTTTCTCCTGTATGTGCCAATCCATTTATATTTCTTATTACTGTGTCTTTTTGTACTAAAATTAATATAAATCTATTTTGCAATAAAGAAAATACTAGTTCCCAGTTTGTCATGCTGATTCAAGGCCTTCAGTATTTTTTCCGTCTCTAGCCTGGACCAAGTATTTCTGAATTCACTTTGACTTTTACCAAATTGTATACATCTTACAGGTCAGGGACTTGAAAGCCAGAGATACTGCGGCAATGGCTGCCTCAGTGCTTTTTTAAGTAAAGGTTCCTTTAATGTAATATCTGAGGTATCATAAGTCTTCAGAGGCAGCAGGGACAACATGAAACATTCTCTGTGAGCAGTAGAATATTTAAATAGCAAAGTGAATATTTAAAAGTGGCAGCTCCAAAATACGGTTTGAATGTAAGGAAAGGCAAGATTTATATGAACCGGACAATGGCATGAAAAAATATTATTTGAAACTACATTGAGGCAAAATTGAATATTGTTTTGCATACATGACATTATGACATTTATGTTAAAATGCAAGGCTCTCTTTAAGGATCACATAAGGCTCAAAAGAAATAGTCATCATTTAACACTAAATGGAAGGCAAATGTTAAAAAACACAATGGAAGCAATTTCTGTATTTATTAAAAAAACATGAAATGTATTACAATCAAGTTGTTCTTTTTAACCTAAATTGGTGTTATATTTATATTAGCCCCCTGTAATTCCCAGGACAGTAACACAGGGAAAGGGAAAGGGGGGGCTCTGGGCTCTACTGCTTTGCTTGTTAGCCCAATACTGAGCATGCTTACATGAGGAAGAGTACTAGGATTCATCAGTGTTCTGCTGGTCCTTCCTTGTCCAATCACCAAACTGGGGGGAGGAGATATGACAAATGTAGGAGAACTAAAAAAGCCATTTTAATGGCAATCACCAATCAGATGGATGATTATCATTGCTATTAGGGATGCACCGATACCGATACTAGTATCGGTATCGGTGCCGATACCGATACCGAGTATTTGGGTGAGTACTCGTACTCGCCCAAATGCTCCGATACCTAGCACGAGTACTTCCTGTATCAGGAAGCCGGGCAGCGCATCATTACACGCTGCCCGGTTTCCTGATTGGCCAGGAAACCGCCCCATGCTCTCTCGTCACTTGTGATGAGAGAGCATGGAGCCGACTTCCCGGCCAATCAGGAAGCTGGGTAGCGTGCAATGACGCGCTGCCCGGCTTCCCGATTGGTCAGGAAGCTAGCAAATCCGGCATTCTGATTGGCCTGGAAGCCGGCGTCATGCTCCCTCGTCATATCATGAATTATAATATTAAGAAAGTGACCTTAAAGCATTAGTTTGTATTGCTTTAGAAAAAATTTGACCTGTCCCTTTAAGAAAAAGTATCGGTAATTGGTATCTGCGAGTACTTGATCAAAAGTATCGGTACTCGTAATCGGTCTTAAAAAAGTGGTATCGGTGCATCCCTAATTGCTATGATTCCAGGGGTAGTGGGATCTTGAATTGGCATATAGAACAGGCATGTCAAAAACAGTGGGCTAAATTATGCTTAAATTACCTTCAAGGGCCATATTATCACTACTGAGGGCCAAGCCTACTTAATTCCAAAAGCAGAACTTTGGTGCTTAACATTATAGCAACAGTTGCAGCGTACAACATTTTAGCCAAGAGAAAAGGCATTAAACATTTTCTGAAGTATGGAGCTGCAAAATTAGGTAAAGAAATGCAGTGTTTATCAACTGGAAAACAGCAGGGGCCTCATTCATAAATAAAAGAGGGCCACAGCAAGAGAGCAGAGGTACCCAGAAATACACAAGAATAATTTTTTTAATGCTTCATTAGATGTAAGAGCATTCCACTTTATTGATTTTGTTTTAATATATCAAAAATTATAAAAAATATTAAAAGTATGTATTTCATCTCACTGAGACACAATAATCAGCCAGAAAACAATAGCACACAACTGGTTAATTAAAGCCACGTATATAGGAAATAATAGGGCACAAAAAGGGATTTTCTTCACCAAAACAAAAATGAACAAAGAAAAAACACCAATGTGGACCGTGCTTATTAAAATCACCAACCTAAGGTTAGGGTTTACGGTTTAGATTAGAACATGGTCTAATATTTCTTAATTATCAACATTTGGCTTACCTAAATGAAATGCTCCAGTGTCATCATTCCTGGCAATGACAGGCTGCCCAACCCATCGCTCTTTGCATTGCAGGATGTATGCAGTAGCACGTTCATACTTGTCAGGACCTATCAGGTAAACCTGTTCTCTTGGAGCGATGGCTTCACTATTATCCTGATATAGTATCTGATAACAAAAAACATTTAAATAAAAAACAAGATATTTTATTTACTATAAAATCGGTTTCTTAAAGTTCATTAAGGCACACAGGATCAGTATTAAGGGATGAATGGTTTATACAGCTGCCTGCAGGAATAGAACACTGGTAAACAAAACAGTTGTTGGGCAGCCAGATCTAACCCCTCCCATACCAGGATGCTTCCGTTTAGTAGAAAAGTAGTACACAGAAGTAGAATCACAGCACATAGGGGTGGGACCTATTTGTCAGTGTTCCACCCTGACCTTACTGGCTTGCAGCATTCTGGCTTGGCTGCCATTTTACTCACCTGTTTCCTTTCTAGCTTGAGCAGAGTCTGGAACGTTGCTCACTACTCCCAGGCTCCCTCTTATGGCCAGACAGGAGAGCATCATCTGAGTGAGTCAGATGGGAGTTTCCTGTCTCTGAGTGATGATGTCACACCACCTGACGTTTGTAGGTAAATTATCTATAATTTCGCGCTGAAGTTGCTAGAGGGCCAGACCATTATAAATAGGGAAGCAGGTTGTTTACCATGACAGTAGAAGTGATTTTTTTCTGAAGATATGGGTAAACAACGCAATTTAACAGCCTTTGAACGTGGGATGATTGTTGGCACTCTGAGCCATAGAGCGAGTATCAGCAAAACAGCAGAATTCAGTTAAATGTTCAAGAGCAGCTGTTGTTAAATTGTTTAAAGACTGGACTGTCAGTCGAAAATCTGGGTCTGAACGTGCGAATTGTGGCCGTCAGTGACTAGTCAATGTTAGGGCAGAACGGAGAGTGGCAAGACTGGTACAAGACAACAGAAGGGCAACAGTGCAGTGTCAGATTCCTTGCATCACCTTTCAACATCTCGTGGAGTCACGAGGCGGCCCAACTAAGTCATCTCGTGGAGTCATCTCGTGGCCCAACAAAGTACTGATGGGATGGTCATAATAATCTGGCCACTAAGTGTATATAAACCATTCAGTCCAGTCTGGCCTTGCCCTTGCGTGGTCTTCCTGCTAGTGCTTTCCTGCTGCTCTAGTATCCTGATTTCGTGTATGACCTGATCCTGGCTGACGTTCTCCTCTGGCTCCTGCTCCTGGCTTGTTCCTGACAACGCTGATTTCCTGTCTCCTGCTCCTGGCTTGTTCCTGACGACACTGATCTCTGTGTTCCTGACCTGGCTTGGACGACTACCCACTCCGGCTCCTGACTCTGGCTTGTTCCGGTTTAAGACTCTGCTTGCTCCTGTGGACACTGTTCTTAATAAATATTTTAACTAGCACCTTTTGCTTGTCTGGTTTTCATTGTGCTCTGACACTATTTTCCTTAATGAACTCCAAGAAACATATTTTATGGGTAGCAAAAAAACCTTCTTTCTTTATCATTCTTTAAGGGACATCAGTATCAGTAGTCAGGGACATATGACACCTCCAAAAGCAGTTCAATTGAAGGGTGGGCAACAGCAACAAAACACTTGAAAGCCCACATAACAGTGTAAGAACTGGGGGCAGCCTGCTGCTCAAACTGACATGGAGATGCTTGAAATACCTTACGCCCAAAATTGGCATCAGTGGAGGCCAGAATGTCCACCTTGTAAATTTTGAGAAAGTATGAACAGAGGACCACACCTTGCAAATCTGAGAAACAGTAGGGTGATGCCTAAAATCCCAAGAAGCACTAACAGATTTTGTGGTATGTGCTTAACAGAAAAAGGCAGAGTCATATTTTTAAGACTATTTGCCTTAACAATAATGTTTCTGAGGCACTGAGACATGGTGGAACGAGAAGCTGGTTCAGGAAAAGGAGTCAATTATCCTGATGGAAGATGTGGCTAAGAGGCACATACTTGTACAGCATGATCCACATCTAGACAGTGAAGGGAGATTTCCTTTTGATGTACCAAATCTGGACATGGAAAAACAATGGCCTGGTTGAGGCGAAGGGCCAAAACTACCTTAGGAAAAAAAGTGGCTCTGGTAGCACTACTATGTCCCCATGAAAGACCAGGAAAGGCTCTTTACAAGAGAGGTCTGCCAGCTCAGAGACATGCCTCGCAAAGTGATCGCAACAAGGAATACAACCTTGTGGGAAAGAGTAGGAAGGGAAATGCCGCTGATGGGTTCAAAGGGTGGTCATTGAAGAGTTGATAAACCATATTCAAGTTCCATGGAGTCATTAGAAGATTTACAGGGGGAGCTTTGTGAGCAACACATCAAAAGGAAGCTACCTCTCATTCAAAAGCAGAGTTAGATGGCTCCTGTACTGTGAAATTCGAGTTTGGGAGCAGGCAGTCAATAATTTCTTCTTGGGGGAAAAAAATAGTGTCTGGACTGTGTCTAGGACAAGACCCAGATATTTCAAGCACTATCGGTTCAAGTGCAGATTTCTGAAGGTTCAGAAACTGACCTCTCTCAGGGTAGCTCAAAGGATTAGCCGATCTGGAGCTTCATAAAAGAGCCAGCTCTGCAGCGTGTTGATTGAAGTTTTGTTTGATGTAAAAATAATCTTGAAAATATAATTAGTAAAATGGTTAAACTTTTCTCAGAAAAAAGCATCCATCCTCCTAGAACACTAGCAAAAAACTGTAGCATGTTGCAAACGGGATGGTTATCTACCTGGCTAGCCAATGGCTTTTTTGTTTGCCAGTGTCAAGTTCCTCCTGCAATCTGTTTAAAAGTAGTAAGCTGCAACATACTTGTGTCATAGTAATACAAAAATAAAAAATATTGCATGTTATAACAGTTCCTAAGCCTGTTTGCAATACAGGCTCCACTGTGGTAAAGAAGACTCTGCAGGGTATCACTATTGTCCTTACCATCACTTTAAGATCAGGAGTACATCTCACAATAATTCCTGGACAGTAGCTCCCAGGAAGCAAAGGGTGTGGTCCAATCACACAGTCACCTTCCTATAAAGACAAATAAATTCAGATAGGCCTCATTTTAAAATGTATAGTATAATAATATGGAACAATTAAAAAAGAAGCATTGTGAGATGTAATACCTTTTTGTTTGCATTAAATCAAGCTCATGCTTCCAATGAGGGTGAGCAATGTAGATGAAATCCTGCTAGTTCTTACCGTACTGTACCAATTTAGTACATGATACCTTGCAAGAAATTTTTTGGCACATAGCAAGTCTTGTTAATTTAAAGTGCCTAACACACAAATATTTATAAACAAATAAGAAAATATGGTTCATGACTGATCTCACAAAATCTGATTATTTCAGTTTGGCAGATGTTGGAGAGTATATTCAGCTTATGGTAGTTCCCACCCAACACAGGGAGGAACTATGAAAGAGTAATCTTGGTCATGCCTCCCAACTGTCTTGTTTTCCATGGAACTGTAATTAGATTTGAATTAGATCCCAGGGGCCCACCTTATGTTGCGTGGCTGGAATGCTCATTCCAATGTCTGGTGCCTCTGAAAGGCCAGCTCCCTGCTCACATCAAGCCCAAACAGCCTATCAGCTCCCCACTCAAATCCAGACTGCCCTGCCTTTCAGCATTCTCACATACAAGGCATCCTCTCTGCTCACATCCAGCCTGACCCATCTCTCTACTTTGGCACATACAGTCCCCTTTACAGCCATGCCAGCTCTCCCACTGCCAGCTCTCAATTCCACCCAACAGCTGCACATGCCATTTATAACCTTAGATCACTCCCTTTCAATAGTTGTTCTCTAGCTGGCTCACATCTGCTTTGCAGTGCTCCAGTTCGCTCCAGTTTCTGTATCTACACCCCCCCCTCACCACAACAAGCAGTGCACTCATTTTCCCTCTCTTTACCCATCAATCTCCCACAAGTCCCACAGCCCTTTTTCACTGACATCCACACTAACACTGTACCATCCTACTCCCCCACCTATTTTCCCTGACTGCATCCTCTCGCAGTGTTGTTGTGGGAGAACAACACTGACCATCAACGGGCAATGCGCAAGTGTGAATGGGCACTCGCTGACCACCTATGTCTGAGAAGGAGGGAGTGGGGTCAACAGTGGGTTCCTTATGAGGGGGGAATTCTTCTTCCCACTGATGCGGATGCTGGGAGGAAGGATTCTTCCTCTTGTTGTCAATGACGATGGGACACTCTTTCACTTACTGGCCAATCATTTTTTGCTTCCATTGCCTGCTGATGCCATGAATTTTTTGCTGACAACTGACCAGCAGGAGGGACTATGTTACATACTCCTGAGCTTTAAACTCTGGCTTTTGACATTGTATATTGTGCTGTGTGTTCTACCCCAATACAAAAAAACAAAAACTAATTTCTTTAGTTTTTCAGATCCAAAATTCGATTCGGTACGTTATTCGGATTTCATATCCGTACAAATTTTCATTTCAGAAAGATCCACAACAGGAAGTCACATGAAACCCCAAAAAGCAAAACATTTGATTGGCCAGAGAGCAGTCACATGTCTGGTTTAGTTTTGAACAAAATTCAGACAGATTCCAATTTCCGTTAACCGCTTGCCGTCCGCCCGTTGTGAAAAAACAGACGGCAAACTCACATTCGCGGGTTGCTATAAATAGACGTTTTTTTTCTGCGCGCGCGCGCACGGGCAGAAAAAACCCGTCCATTGTAAACAGCCGCTACCGGCTGTTTCACATACAAGAGATCGCGGCTCTATAGCCGTCCGATCGCTTGTATGTGCTGCCTGCGTGTGCCCCCCCCTCCTCGAGTGCCGCCGTCTCGCAGCCCCCTCCTGCACCCTCACCTTCAATCCCGGGATCCGCTGCCCTATCTGCAGCACGGGACTGGCTCGGGAGGGTGTCTGGAGGAAGATGGGAGGGAGGTCAGCATCTTCCTCCTTGCTGAGCTCCCTCCGTACTGTGAATGCGGACGTGATGTGTAATATATCACTTCCACATTCACCTGTCAGTCCTCTGGCTGTTTTAGCCAGAGAGAAGAAGCTGATGAAGGAGATGTCTGCTTCATCACCTTCTTACGGGGTCCCGAGGTGACATTAGGGGTCTTAGAGACCCCTAATGTCTCCATAAAGAGGACCTGTCAGTGTGCCTTTGCTATTATATAGGGGGATGGTTATTCCCCTATGTGATAGCAATAACATTAAGTGTAAAAAAAAAAGTAAAAAAATAAAAGTCACATATAATACAAGTTTTAAAAAAAAACCAACATTTTTAAGTACTCCACCTCCACGTTTATGCACATATAAACGTAAATACGGGTCAGATGCGCAGGTGCGCGAAAATGACAATTATTGCGCTACACATGTTACATATCGTCGCGAACGTAGGAGAGCAATAATTCTAGGGCCATTAATCACTGAAAACACTAAACTGATGAGCAGTAAAAGCTTTTAAAGCGTCGCCTACGGCCAATTTAGGGTATTGTAGTTTTTTGAGGTTTTGCGGGCGTGCGCAATTTTAAGGCTTGACTTGTTTGGTGTCTTTTTACGCGACGTGACCCCGTCTTTTATATTTTACCAAAAAATTGGGTAATAATAAAGGTTTTATAATTTAATATAGGGGAAACAGTTTTTTAAAAAACAATTTAGGTAATTTTTCCTTACTGTAGTAAAAAATAAAAATCCCAGTGGTGATTAAATACCACCAAAAGAAAGCTCTATGTGTCCCTAAAAAATTGTATAAAATTAATTTCAGTACAGCGTTATATGATGGAATAAATATCAGTCAAAGTACTGCACTGCTAAATACTGAAAAATGGCCTGGACAGGAAGGGGGTTTAACACCCCGATCTTCAAGTGGTTATAATACATTTGGGAGAAAACTAAATTTACATGTCTACTTCCATCATCACTGCAAGATCTTGGTGAAAAATTGATGCAACTCTGGATGGAAATAAATGTTGTGACATCACATAAGCTTATCGAAACTATGTCACTGCGAATATGTGCTGTAATCAAAGCTAAAGGGGTCCAATTAAATATTAGATGTGTGATTTGTTTTGGACCAGGCAGTGTATAAACTATGTTATACATTACATACTACTGACTACAGCATTTGCTGTCATTTAATGTACTGTATATAGTCCTGACTGCTGCACTCTGTAATCTGTGCTGTATATTACATACTCCTGACATTTTACTCTGACCACTTTTCACCACGTCACAGCTTCTCCCTAATATGTCCCTGTTTCTAAAGTTTAGAGGTATGGCCTTGGTGCTTAAGTTAATAAAAACCAGCAGATGTCTCTGCTCACTAGACTTCACCTGTAACTCGAAGGAGTGATCCTTTAGTTATGCAACTGTTTGTTACTTTTGTTGCATATCCTGTCTTCATCCTTTTATTTTGTGAGATTTATGTGCATATCCAAGTATAAAATGAGGTCAGGTAATTACAGCGGATAAATTATATATTTTGTGGTTTATTTTGTATGCCAGATTGTTGATGATTGTTTCTCGAATTGTTGTACTCCTTATTGTAACTTCTATTATTTAAGGGAATTACTTTTTTTTTAACTGTGATGATGTAAGCACCATGCCCGTTCCACGCATGCGCCAAGTACCGCTAGGCAGAAGAATACGCGCATGCGCACAACGACCACTTCCCACAGAAAGACGCGCAGGATGGCGCACAGGAAGTGATGCGCAGATGGAGCGTGTTCTAAGAAAAATGTGCCAAAGGCGCACAGGAAGTGATGCGCACATGGAGCGTGTTCTAAGAAAAATGTGCCAAAGGTGCACAGGAAGTGACATAATTGATTAGTTCACTTGCCTATTTAAACCAAGCCAGCCTGTCACTTACTTGCTGGATTGTCTTATCAGCTCCTGTATGTGTTGTGTCTCCTGTTTCCTGTCTTGAATATTAGATTGCCGTTGCCTGGATTTTGACCCGTTCCTGCCTCCACTACCTGCCTTGACTGCCACCTGCCTTTTTGACCCTGGACTGTTTTGATTATTCTTCTGCCTCTTCCTTCGGTACTGCAACTGACCTCCTGGATTTTGACCTCGGCTTGCCTCGACTTTGAATTCTGGATTACCCTTCTACTTGCACGGTTTCATAACTACTGGCACTCGTGCCACTCGGTGTCTGCCTGACCTCTGTCACCATCCTCAAAGGCTTTTAGACACGAGGTGCAAGGGAAGCCTCCTCAACCATCCAGTCTCCCAGACCAGGTTCGTAATAGATGAATAATACATGTCCTGTAGTACTACTATATGTATGCTATGCATGAATACTTTCCTCTGACTCTTTTACATAATAAAATGTAAGTACAGATACCAATACTGAAATACATTTTACACTTTCTTTTCTCTGCATGGCAATGGTGTATTGTTAAAAGTCTGCAATTTATGGAAATAGGTTAAATAAAATATGCATTATACAACAGTATAAATCTCTTCCATTAAAAAAGCTTTTAGTCCATTATTTTGAACACTGACACAAGAAATGCAAGGTAACATTAAAAGTCCCAACAGAGAGGAAAATGGCTAAAACATTTTCAAATGTACTTTACTAGGATTCTAAAAGGAATACTACTTAAAGTAGTATTCCAAGATAGGTTGAAATTATCATTTTTACATAAAAAGAGCAAACATTTTAAAAAGGTAAAAAAAAATAAGACTAAAGCATGCAGCTAAAGGCACTCATAGTTTTATATATACATTCTAAAATGTGGCGATTCCAAGCAAAGAAGAGGTTTAAATGCATCAAGGAATCAGGCATTGGCAGCGCATAGGGATGCGTACAAATAAGTACAATTAGGGGTATATAGTTACATAGTATTTGAGGTTGAATAAAGACACAGGTCCATCAAGTTCAACCTTTATGTGTCTGTGTATGTGTGTAGTGCGTGCATGTGTGTATACAATTCCCTGTGTGGTCTTAGTTTTTAAAGAGTAGCTGTATCCTTGTATGTTACGGGCTCTTATGAAGGTATCTAATTGATTTTTGAATGAACCAATATTCACTGCAGATACTCTGACTGAAGAGAAGCCCCTATACCCTTTGTGGATAAATCTTAGGCGTTGGCCTCTAATCTTTGTTAGGGAGTTCACAGTAAAAAGTTTATTGCTGATGTTTCCATCACCACTAAACATTTTGTACATTAAAACCATGCCCCCCCTTAATCTCCGCACCTCCAGCGTGAACAAGTTTAACTTTAGCAACCGTGTCTCATAGCTTTGATCCTCCAGCCCCTTAATTAGTTTAGTTGCCCTTCTCTGGACTCTTTCCAGCTCCAGGACAGTGATCTAATGCCGGCTGGTGTGTGGGCGGGCGTGTGGGCGGGAGCTGCAGCCGGCTAAATTTCAGTTTATGTGCCGCTACCCCGAAAGTAAGACCTTGCGGATTTCTGCAATATAAGACCTACCACCGAACTAGGTCTTATTTTCGGGGTAGGTCTTCTATTACAGAAATCACTGAAGATAGCGCTAGGTTTTACTTTCGGGGAAACAAAAATATTGCTCTGTCTCAACAGTACACTCCCTTTTTAATGCAAGACAGTACTCTGCTAGCTTTGTTTGCCGCAGCCTGGCATTGCAAGCTATTATTCAATTTGTGTCAACTATGACCCACCAAATCTTTTTCCATTTCTGACTTCCCTAGCGGAGTACCCAATAATAAAAATATATACAGTATGTTTATATATCTCATTTGGGGTTTTACATTTGTAGCTTCTCTCACAGAGTCTTATTTTTTAACACACTTTATGTTCTTGAATATCCTTGAAAAACAAATCAAACAAACCCAAATAAACCTTGACAACACGAATAGGTGATCAGAGAATTGCCTGAGATCTGGTATATTTTCTGTACAGAGAGAGATGGAAAAAAAATATGTTTTTTTATACAAAACATATGCCATTTTGCAGGCAATACTGTGACTGTATATTTGTACATATACTGCTGAAAAGGTTAAACCTTTTTCAAGGACATTCACAAGACTAAGCAATTATGACGTAAGTAATCTGGAAAGGAGAATGCTGTTTCTGAGAACAGAAGTAGCCCCGCAAGAAATGAGAAGAACACTCACAGCAATTGTGGTCACAATCTATAGATTTGTTCTTAGTTCCTCTTTCATTAAACACTGCACTAAATCCAGTAATATATATTTTATTATTTCCTTATACAACTGGATTACTGCTTAATTTGTCACTTAAAATGCCATTGTGTGGTGTGCATTAAGTTCTATTACGTTGTATACCTTTATCTCCTTTGTGTAGTCATCAGCATCACTCAGTATGTCTTCCCTTTGTATCCTTGCTACTTCTCCAGAGGCCCTCTTGACAAAATAGGTGAGATCTCCACAGTCATGGATAATAAATCCTGAAATATATAATTTATCAAACCTTGGCCAAATGACAATGAAATCCAATGATTTTTGGTTTCTAAAGCTAGAGCTGAGTGGAGTCTTTATATGTTTAAGTTTCTTGTAGACAAAAATTACCCAAAAAGTACAGCCCACCTAAAAGCTGCACTTAAAGGTACCCTACAAACATCCATATATATCTAATATTGTCAAACCTGGATGTTTCCAATCAGGATCATTTAATTTGTGAAGACTATAGTAAGATATTGGTCATGTTTTGATTTTTTAAAATCATTCACTTATCCACTACATAATGCACATATTGGAAATCATGCCACATATGGGGCCTAGATAAAATGCCCCCAAAAAATTGAAAAACAAAAAGATTCTGTTTGTGAATTTTGAAGCCAGCCGTTAGGACAATTCGTGGAATTTGTATTTTATTGTTGACTACATTGTACCTGTCAAATACACTACTTGATGGACAGTTACTTTCTCTGCAGATCCGTTATCTAGCTTTATATACAGGGTACAGGAGACTAGCTAAATAATACATCTACTTTGGAAGAGCAATCATCCTTTAAGTCTAAATAAAAAACTCACTAAGTACCCCCCCCTCTTCTCTGTAAAGAGAGTAGGTTGTGAAGGAGTCATATGTTGCAGTGATTTTCTGAGATAAAGGCTAAAGGACAGTACAAAGACAGTACAGATATAAAGGCTAAAGGACTTCTAAAACCTGCTGGGAGGTCATGATGTCAGGCAGAGAGTATGGAAACACAGTACCAGGCCTTGCAAGCCATACTTCTAAAATGTAATAGATCCACCGATTCACTAGAGAACTTTACAACTATATTTCAGACAAGGTCTCTGTTCCTACCTTCTTCATACCATCCATTGTGAGAGCAGACAGACACCACCTTTTGTCCGGGAACAGCTGGCTGTATAGCACTGACATCTGGTTTCACTAGAGACATTTGATATGGACATTACAGTTAAAAGATATTGTAAATGAACTGGATAAATACATGATTTTCTGATATATTTAAAGTTTTTTTAACATGTAAATTTTTCAGTACTGAGCTACAATTAACAAATACTGAATATTTTAAAATGTATTTACACTTTTGCAGTCAAATTTGAGAAAACCACTCTATATGTTCTTATGTGTTCCTATTCACACAGCATACTGAAAAATAACTTTTTAAAAACATGTATTACCTTTCTTAATTTAGATGTTTTGTTAAAGCAGGCAAGATGGCTAATTCCAGGCATTTCTTAGCCCTTTTGACAGTGATCTGTCCTTATAGAAAGACTTGGGACTTACATTTGAGGATTGTGTTTATCTGATAAATGTTATTAACATACAAAGGACACGCCACCTCCGACCCCTCATAGCCCCTCCTAACATGTCAAAGAAGTAGAAACAAGAAGAAGGTTTAACCCTTAAAACCCTAACACAAGTAAAAGCAATTTAAACAAGAAGAATTTTATTTTTCAGCTTATGCTATGTGAATAGGAACATGTGACACATATAAAATAGGGGTTAATTTGGCTGTGAAAGTGGAAATACACTTTAAAAGTACAACAGCTTTATTGCAAAAGATCTATAAACAATGAACAAAATGCATGAAATAAAACAGTCATATTTTTGGCCATTTTTATTTACGTTTACGTAAGTTGTTAGATTGATGTCATATGTGTTTTTTCGCTATATACATATTACAGTTCCCCATGACACACGAGTCACAGAGTATTATGAATCGTTTAATGAGTGAACACAGCAGAATATGTTTACTTTTAGACTCTCTGTGCCTTTCTGATTGAAACTTTGTGGGGAGCTCTGTGAAAGGGTAGGCAAGAATAGGGAGGGACAGGTGATGAATCAGTGCTCTAACTTATTAATCAGGTGTCTAGATTTCAGCTTGTCATTACTACCATGTTTCCCCCAAAAATAAGACCTACCCCGAAAATAAGACCTAGTACTATTTTTGGGAATTGCTAAAATATAAGACCTACCCCGAAAATAAGACCTAGTTGTGACCATTCCCAGGGCCGGCGGTGGCATAAGGGGGAACCTGAAGAGCCGCGGGAGAGGCAGGAGAGAATCAGTGATGCCAACGAAGCCAGTGCTAGAGGAAGCGAGGAGGCACCGAAGGGAGCAGAGCCGCATAAGCCGATGCCTCCCCTATAGTGCCGACTCCTGTCACAGGCGGAGAGATACCAAATGCACTCCGCCTGTGAGGAATCGATAGTGAAAGTGCGCTTCGCTCATTCTGGCCAGCAATTGGTTAGCAAATTGCTCTTGGAAAGGTACGGTACCCCTGATTGCTCTGATCACCATATTTTTGTAGATGAATACATGTAGACTTCTCTACATGAATAAGAGTTGATTGTTGTACATAAAAAAAAAAAAAGACCTACCCCAAAAATAAGACCTAGTGTGTTTTTTTGAGCCAAATAAAATATAAGACAGTGTCTTATTTTCGGGGAAATACGGTATGTAATACACAGCACTCCTGACTGGAATCCCATAAGATAGGTGGGTGCTGGTGTGACCTGCGGATGGCGCCGCATTATCACAAGAATGCCCAAAAAAAGTCACCCGCACTCCATGGTCCAATATGTTGAACGCTTCTTTTATTCAGACGGTATGCAAACATGCACAGTATAAAAGCAACGTTTCAAGACCGAACATGGTCCTTTCATCAGGCAAACACAATCACAACATTCAACCAAAGTGCAACAGTTATATACAGTGGCAAACCATCAATTGTGTGCAAGGAGCTATTGATCTTGGTAAACAATCAGAATTTTCAAAAAGCAACTAAGAACAACCTAAAAACATGTGAAAAGGAACCCAGAGCTCCACTTGCTGACTGGAATTGAGAATACGAAACGCATATTACATCATTTTAGTGGAAGATCTTTTTAACAAGATGGGCAAATGTCCATCTAAAAAAAATATTGCGGATATCTAAACCAGCTGGGACCTGAACCATTTCTAATATTTTAATTGCAGCCATGTAACTTTACTTTTTTTTTCGTAACAATTTATTTTATTCGGTTTTCACAGGTAAAAGAGACATTGCATATAGGGTTCAATACAGTCAACATACACAGGTCATAATGAATATAAAAGTTCAAATTGGTTACAGTTATTATATGACTGTCTCTAGGAACAAAAAGTGATCAAAGGAAAGTTTTAGAGAAAGGTGGGAGGGAGGAAGAGGGTGGATCGGGCATTAGGTCCAACGGTGTGATGACATTACCGGTTGTGTTGAAGATCAGGTCAGTAGGGCTGCTGTCCGCTGCCGACTAGAGGCACCCCCTACATTGAATGGGCAGTCTCTTATAGAAGTCTAAGGGTGTCCCTGTCTAGTTCCGGTTGTTGATATAATACCCAAGGTTCCCATATATTTAAGAACTTGGCATGGGTATCTTTCAGAATACTGGATAATCTTTCGTTGGTCATAATATTGTCTAATCTCGAGGTAAACTCGCGGTATGGCAGGATTTGTTTTTTCAGTTGCTTGATAGGGTCAATTTGGCTGCCAAGAAGATATAGTGTGCTAAGAATCTTTGGGAGGCGGTTAGACCAGGTATGGTGGTGTGTAACAGAGCCTGAGTGGGATCCTTGGGAATGTGAGTATTAAACAGGCTGGAGAGTAAGCGATAAATTCTAGTCCAAAATCGTGAGGTAAACGGACATGTCCACCAAGTGTGGAGCATGTCACCAGGGAGGGTGCACCCACGGAAGCAGACAGCAGACGAGGTTGGGTATATTTTGGCCAGGCGGGTGGGGACCAGGTACCAGCGGAACATAACCTTATATACCACTTTCATATTGGTGACATTAAGGGAGCATCGAGAGATGTTTCCCCATACCCTGCCCCAGTCCTCCTCAGTCCAATTAAGATAAGTAGACCACATTGTAGGATAAGAGTGTAGGTAAAGACGCTTCAGTGAATTGAGTTTGGAGTATAATAGCGACACTAGTTTGGGTCCGCCAGGTGAGTGGAGGCATGTATGCTCGAAGCACGTAAGGGGTCTGTTAAAGGATCTCCGTTCTTGTAGGGAGGACGCCCAGTGTCATATTTGTAGATATCGGAATAATTCCGCGTCAGGGATCTGTTTGTGCTCTTTGAGGTATGACCAAGTGAGGATAGCGGTATTTCGAAATAGATCATAAATTCTAATAAACCCATTGGTGCTCCACCATTTAACCACTTGCTGTCCGCCCGTAGTAAAAAAACGGACGGACGGCACTGCAGCATTGGTGGCCCCCTAGCGGGCACGCACGGGCAGAAAAGACCCGACCAGGTGTTTCACATATAGACGATCGGCGGCTCCATAGCCCGCCGATCGTCTATATGTGCTCGTTTTCTCTGGCTGCTATAGCCAGAGAAAAGAAGCTGATGAAGCAGATCTCTTTTGGGGTCCACAGGTGACAGGGGTCCTATGGACCCCTAATGTCTCCATAAAGAGGACCTGTCAGTGTGCCTTTGCTATTATATAGGGGGATTGTTATTCCCCCAGACTTTTATTTTTTTAAATTTTTTTTATTTATATATTTTTTTGCACTTTTTGATGCATTTTTAAAAGGGATTAATCATGCACTTTTATTACTGTCATTTATTATTTACCTATAACTTTTTTGAATAGGTAGCGCTCTACACTCTTCTATATGTATAAGTGATTGCACTTTTAGTTTAGCAGCTTCCTTTATTTATTTTAGATTAATCTACCGTAGCACGGAATCTTATTATTGACAACATTTACTTAATTCCCCCAGTCTTTATGCATTAGTCCCATTTAGGCACAATAACTTTACATGAGAAAGGCTTCATACTTTCCCATAAATCCTATTCGTCCGAACCAGACAAGTGCTAGTAGAGACCAACAACAGGCAGCCTGCTCCCTGAACAAACACGTGGACGTTGCAGTCAAAGATGCCTGAGTGTCAAAGATGCCATCTCTGATCTTTCATCTGTTACAAGGGCCAATCACTTTCTGTAGCTACTGTCAAATCCTGCAAAATCCACTGGACAATCTGTTAATCACTGGTTTAAGTCATACTTAGCATATGTCACTATGCCAGGGCACACTTGTGAAAACATGTTCTGTAAAGCATGTCTGTGCACTAAATACAACCTGCAGCTGCTCTGCTTGGAAGGTAAAAGAGACATGTAAGGAAGTTAATAATTGCGATCATTGAAAATGTTATCATCATGGATTTATGTACACAATGCTGACTGCTAAATTCATTTGTTGTGCTTTCTATAACACAATCTGTTTTATACTTTTAAATAATGTACTTTTCAGTGTCCTTATAAATTACAGTAACAAGCTGAGTATCTAATAAATAAACCTGTTCCATGTGTCAACAGAAGACCTAGAGAATGAGAAAACTGGTATTTACCTTTCTGCAGCAACATTAGGGATTAGTCCTTGTAACAGGGCTACAACTAATCTCTGACGTCTTCAGAAAGCTAAATGAGAAGTGGCAAAGCAGATGCTACAAGGAAAAAATGTTCTACAGTCATGCAAATACAGCGAACAAACTCTACAGAATCTCACAGCTGAATGCTTTGCCATGTGATTACTCATTCAGATCTTTTTGTTTTTTTTTTACTTAACATTTGTTTTGGCATTGAAATACAGTATATATCGAATATAACCTGTAACAAAGCACTCAGATCAATTTTTAGCACAGCAGCTGCTGACACTTCAACAGCTAAGACTTGTGTATCGCTCCACCTGTTGGCTGCAAGTGGTAATCAAAAAATATTCAAAATGAAATATTTAATTTGCATCTGATTATTACTATTATTATTATTATTATTATTATAATACATTTATATAGTGCCAACAGTTTGCCCAGCACTTTACAACATATGGTAAGACAGTATAATTACAATACAATACAATAGCATTAGAGGACCCTGCTTGTGAGAACTTACAATC